CAGCTTTCCATGTGGACTGTGGGTGGTAAAGGATGTGGAACTTCCAGAGTATGTTAATAGAAGAAATGCGGTGGCGGGTGATAACCATAGTGATTTCTGGACCATTGTCCGACTGAATGGAGGGAGATTGAGAAGTGAAAGCAGGGAATAATTTCAGAGATGGAGCTGGGTGATGGTGGAGACTCTTTTGTTGGAGGTAGGAAAAGCCTCCACCCATCTCCTAAAGTGTCAGGTAGAACCAACAGATATTTGTGTCTCTTTACTGGAAGCATATGTGTAAAGTCAGTTTGTCGGTCTGCACCCTGTAGAAGTCCTCCCTTCTGGTGAATGGGGAAGGGTGGTGGCCTGAGGTTAGACCAGGGATAGCACACAAGCAGATGAGAACAGTCTAGGAGAACTGCTGAAGAAAGCCTTATCTTCCTGCAGGACTGGGAAGTATTGTGTGAGGACTGTGAGCAAAGACTGGTTAGCTTTGTGGGATTGTAAGTAGGTAAGAATCTCAGAGGGGTGTGGGGAGGTTGGGACTTAATGTATATGTTACCATTATAGGGTGTGGGGGTTGGGTTTCTGATCCTTTTTGCCTCTTGAGATCCAGGTGTGTAAGAACAGCTTCCCTGGCCAGTTTATCCACCATATTATTAGCCAGGTAGATATATTGCCTATCTTTTCCATGTCCCCTGCATGTATAGTTGAGGCTGTAGTGGGTTGCAATGCTGCCTCTAGGAGTTTCTGTGTATGGGTAGCATAGGTAATAGGTGTTCCTCGCTGTGTTAGGAATCCCTCTGTCTCCAGGTTAGGATGTTGGAGTGGATGGTGTTATAGGCATACTTGGAGTCAACATAGATGTTAACTGTGTATCTTTGGCCTGCATGAGGACCCTGGGAGAATTGTCAACTCTGCCTGTAGAAAGGTGGTGTTGGGGGCAAAGGGCTTGGCCTCAGTGAGAGTATGTGAGGTCAGAGAGTGGGGTGGTCTTGGATAATGGCGTATCTGGCTGCGCTGTGTGTTCAGGGGTGGCTGTTGGAACTGTCGTCTCTGAACCCATCTGTGGTCTGGGGGGGAGGGGATATGTGACAAGAATGTGTGGGAAAGGATCCATGGTAAGATCCAGGATCTCGACAGGCCTTTAATCCCAGCACTCAGGAGGCAGAGGCAGGTGGATCTCTGTGAGTTCGAGGCCAGGCTGGATCAACAGCCTCCAAAACAGAGAAACCCTGTCTCGTAAAAACCAAAAAAAAAAAAAAAAAAAAAAAAAAAGAGTGAAGTGTGGCAGACTGGAGAGATGACTCAGAGGTTAAGAGCACTGGCTGCTCTTCCAGAGGTCCTGAGTTCAATTCCCAGCAATCACATGGTGGCTCACAACAATCTGTAATGAGATCTGATGCCCTCTTCTGCCATGCAGACATTCATGCAGGAAGAACACTGTGTACATAATAAGTAAATCGTTTAAAAAAAAAAAGTGGAGTGGCAACCAGGTTTGTAAGCTTGGGGGCTTGGGGCCAGCCTCATTTGACAGAATGAGCAACCGAAGAAGAGGTGTATCCTGCCTCTTGACAAAGGACTGCTAGTGCTTATCCCTGAGTGGAGTGAAGGAAACATCCGGGTAGAGCCTAGGAATGGGCATGTGTGAGCTGATGTATGGCACTCTGAGGAGACTGTGGAGAGGGCAGAGGTTCCTCTATGGGCCTCATGGAAGGGGTATGCTATGCTCGAGAAACTAGGGACCCAGATACGGAAGTGAGAGAATCCAGCAAAGCCTTGAGGTGTTTGTCTTAGGTGAGGAGTGTGGTGATAGCCTTACACCGTGTGAAGAAACAGGTTCTTCACAATCCGTGTATGGAAGGGATAATTCCGTATAGAGGATCTTGATAATTAACTCCGCTCCCCAGCCTCATCACTTAAGCAAGTCAAGTCCCCTGAGACTGTGACTCAGTTCCCTCATCTACAGTCATGGGTTCTGCAGGCCAACAGCTGGCTTCAAAGCCTCTACCCACTACACTACATGCTCAAATAAGGTGTTTGGAAGGTACCCTTGGACTTCTCGCCTTCAGAACCATGAGCTAGTTAAACTTTTATTCCTTCCAAATTGCCCAGTCTGTGGAACTCAGTTTACACAACAGAAATTCCCTTGTTGGGCATAATGGGTGTCCCTGAACTTAAGATGGAGTGTGAGTTAGGTGTGATACTGCATGGTGGACTGTGAATTCAGTGACTTAAGCAATGCACACTTAGGACTTTTTCTGAGCTGGGTGTGTGTGCATGGCTTGGCCAGGTTCTCTATGCCAGAATCCCTTACAAGGCTATGGTCTGGTCTGAGCTCTCATGCAAAGGCTCAGCTGGACAGGGACCTATACTCCCACCCTACCCCCACCCTCTCACCCCCATTCTGTTGTCAGAATTCCATATGAGTGTGGACATGGAGCCTCCTGCGCCTTGCTCTCTGTTAGCTATAGGCTCACGTCATCCCTTTGCCTGTGGCCTTTCCAGCATGGTGGTATGATCCAGCACATGCTAGCTGCTGGTCAGTAGAGAGTCACTAAGGATGCCAGCTCCAGGCTCATGTCACTTTCCAGTACCATTGGTTTCTTTTTATCGTGCTGCTGAAGTAAGCTACCATAAGCACTGGCTGCAAACAACAGGCTTGCTGCCTTGCGGATCTGTGGGCTGGGATCTGACTAGTCTTACTGGGCTGAAATCAAGGGCTCAGCAGGGCTGCCTTCCTTACTAAAAGCCCCAAGAAATAATCGATTTGTTTGCTTTTTCTCAGCTTCTGAAGTTCTGAATTCCTCTCAGCTTGTAGTCTATTAAGTAGTCGCCAAAGCCAGCCACTTCGCCTTTCTTTGACCATTCTTCTGAAGTCATGTGTCCTTTCAACTCTGACTGTGGCCCAAAGCAATCCTTTCACTGTAATGCATGAACCCATCCAGATAATCCAGGATAATCTTCCGTCTCAGGTCCTGTCTCAGTCACACCTGCAGAGTCCCTTTTGCCCTACTAGGTGACATAATCATCATTCAAAGGTAGGACATGAACATCTGTAGGGGCTGTTAGCTGTCCATCAGCACAGACTAATTTATAAGAAGAACCATCAGTGGTCTGCTAACCAGCTAAGTGTGCTCATCTTTCCTCGGGCCATTCCCAGGTGGATCGACCAGGCTCAGTGGCCTTCCCACAATTCCCTTTTCCATGTGGCAGCTTCCTGCTACCTGGGACTTTTATTCCCTGGAGCCTGAGAGCACTCCACTTTCACCTTCTGGGGTACCTGTAAGAGGTGCCTGTGCCCAGACATCAGACACTGCACATATTCCTATAGCACCTGCTTCTATCACAGTAAATTACAAGGGAAGCTTGTCTGACCAAACCAGGGAGAATATAAAGGGTATCCTTTCTGCTTGTCAGTAGTAGCACAGGCCTTCAATCCCAGCACTCCTGAGACAGAGGCCAGTGGATCTCTGAGTTCAGAGATCTGGGCAGCCTGGTCTACATAGTGAGTTTAAGGATAGCCAGGACTATATAGAGAGACCCTGTCTCAAAAAGGGAGGGTATCTTTTCCTTTTCATTCTTTTCTTTTACCCCATGCCAGGGATGAAACCCAGGGGTAAAACTCTACTACACAAAGAACAGGAATTGGCAGGCTACATATGGCACCCTATGTTTTTATAAATAAAGTTTTATTGAAACATAGCCACCCCTATTTGTTTATTCTGGTTCATGAATGACAGAGTAGTGGGAACTGTGACTGTATGGACAACAAGCTTAATGTTTCATATTTTACCATCTATATTCTCTGCCAAAAATAAGCTGATCCTCATCACTCAACATCAGGGGAGGCAGAGGATACCCTGCTTTATCTGAGATTGCTATAACAGACTTTCTGACGCATGTTTCCTTGGCTCACAACTCTGATGGCTGCAGAGTCCCAACAGCTTGGTACAGACATCTGATCAGGGTCACCGGCCACCACACTGTGTCACCACATTAGGTAGAGAAGTGGGAGGGGCACAGACACATGCAAGGAAGCCAAATGAGGGTGACCTCACTTTATAGCAACCACCTTTGTAGGAACTAGCCCACTCTTGTAAGATTGGTATTGATCCCTTACCACAGTAGTGCCCTTGATGGCCTAATCACCTCTGTCTGGACCCCATCTCTCAAATGTCCCCCTGCTGAGGACCAAACTCCAAGCCCATGAGAGTTTCAGGATAAATCACATCCAGCCCACAGCAGACGGCACAGCTGTTAGAATAGTGCAGAGAACGTAGAGAGGCAGATAGCCATGGTTGTTTGTGAGCTGCAGGTCCTGTTAGTGTTAGTATAGCGACTGTCATGCACACACAACACTCAGGCTAAGCCACCAAGCTCCCATGCTGAGCATTTTCTTTCTGCTTAGGTTTCTGTGTTTGTTAGCTTTCCATTTCTGTAATAGATACCTGGGATAACTTTTTTAAAAGTTTGTATTGGCTCATAGTTTTAGAGGCTTCAGTCCAGGTCTGCATGGCCCTGTTGCTTTGGACCTGTGGCAGTCCAATCCGTCACTGTGGGACTGGGAGGCAGATGATGCCTGTTCACTTTATGATGACAAAGAAACAAGGCTAGGGTCTTAATGTGTCCAACTTTACGGGCATGTCTCCATGACCTTAGTTTCTACCCCTAGGCTCCAACTCTTAAGGGGTTACACCACTCCCAGTGGTGAAGTCTGGGGTTCAAGCCTTCAACTTCAGCACACAGGCCTTTGGGGACACTTAAACAGAACACTTCCTTCTGCACCTGTATTGAGACAGCTTAGGCTCTAGGAAAACCAAAGTGGGATGTGCCACAGCCCGGCCTTGGAGAGGCAAACCACACAAACATGCCTGTAGATGTACTTTGTGACAAATGTCAGGCATTGTGCAGGCCCCTGAAAATAGAGCAGAGACCCCCCCAAAAAAGATGGCCCTGTACCGCTGTTATGAGCTGCAGGGGTTGTGTGTGGTCTCTGATTCCTGTCTTGTTCCTCTCAGGTGCTAATCATGTCGGAGGACACTAAGGGTCCTACAGAGCCCCTGGTGGGGTCCAGCACCCTCTGGAAGGACCTCAGGGTACTCCTGCCTGATACAGAGGAAGAGCTGAAGCTGGACCTCAGTGAGAAGGTGGACAGGAGCGTGACTATGCTGCTCCAGCAGGCTGTGGGGCTGTTCTATGCAGGACATTGGCAGGGGTGCCTGCAGGCCAGTGAGGCCATCCTGGACTACTCCTGGGAGAAGCTCAACACTGGGCCCTGGCAGGATGTGGACAAGGAATGGCGCCGCGTGTACTCCTTCGGCTGCCTCCTGAAGGCCCTGTGCCTGTGCCAGACACCGCAGAAGGCCACCGCAGTGGCTGAGGCACTGCGGGTGTGTGACATGGGCCTGTTGATGGGGGCAGCGATCCTTGGAGACATTCTTCTCAAAGTCGTCACAGTCCTCCAGTCACACCTGCTCCCAGGAAAGCAGCCTGCCTGTGGCCCCCACCAGGACCAGCCTGCTACCAAGGTGTGGGTCATTGTCCATGCGGAACCGTCCAGCAGTCCAACCCATCTTTTAGAAGAATCCACTCCTCTCCCTGGGTACAGCCTCACACGGGCAGCCTCTCTGCTGAGAGGAGCATTGTGTTGTTCTTGGGGGAGAGCAGCTGGGCCCTAAGTCTGCAAAGGCAGTGCCTTTTAAGAGGGGGAGGTGGCAGCTCCATTAATCTTCCGGAGGCAGCTCACAAGAACTAGGCAAAGCCAGTCTCCTGCAGACCACTTCCAGGTAGCTCTGAAGGAAACCCAGCTTGTCTTCTCACCACCTAGTCTAGGAGAGATACTTCAGCCAGCAGACTGAGGATCACGAGGCCAGTGTGTTCTGTCTCTTCAGTCCTCATGGAGGTTGGCCTGGTGTTTAAGTATCCCAGAGTTCCTAATGTGGAGCACAGCTTACACACAGACTTCACCCAGTTTCTACGGGGTGAGCCAGAAACCATCTCCTTTGGGCCTCTGTGTCCTCTTTTATAGATTGTCAGATGGTCCTGAGCCCCAGAGAGGAAAGGCCAAGGCTGTGTTGGATGCCAGCCATGGAATTCGAGACTGTTTCTCATGCATTTCTCAGTGCTTTCCTACAGTTTTAGAATGTTCCATTGAGTGTGATTTATGTATAAGAAAGATGTGATAGATGTCATTAACACATGGTGTGGCCGCAGTGGAAAGAGATCCATCCACGAGCCAGGAAGAGAGACATGGTTGAACCTTTCTGCTGAGGAGTTGAAGGGGATCAATAAGGAAAAGCTAGAGCCTGGACAGCCAACCATGCATGAGGACATAGAGCCACTGGCCTCTGTTTACAAACGAAGAGAAACTAGGCACAGTGGCACACATCCATAATCCTAGAACCTGGGAGGCAGAGGCACAGGATGGAGAGGCTGAGGCTAGCCAGGTCTACAGTGAGAAAAAGAAAAACCAACAAAAATGAAGTGAATAAATAATAACAACGATAAGTTACAAATTAAGAGAGAAACAGCCTCAGAGACTGCCAGCAGCCAGTGCTTATGTGATGTGCGGTGCATCTGTGGGGTCATGGGGTAATGTGCTGCTTCACTGTCTAGAGAGCAGGACAGTCTGCAATTCATGTGACAGATGGGTCCCCTTTGACCTAGGGCACACCGCCCCCATCTTCCCACCAAGGGTATCCCAAGGAGATAGAGCTGTGGACTCCTGCTCAAAGTGGTCCTCTTTGGAGTAAGGTATGGGATGCATAGCCAAAGAGGAGAGGCTCTTAAGTCAGCCTGTGTGGGCTCAGTTCCCATGCTCCACCCCATCTGATCAGACAGGGTCCCTTCCTCTCTGTGCCTCAGTCCCTCACTGGAAGAGGAAGGCATCCGCTTACCAACTTTACTGGGCTCCCGCAGTGGCCAGGATGAACTGGCTGTGCATGTATGCAGAGTATCACTACCTCCACCTCCACCCCCAGAGCTTAGCTCCTGAGAGGCTGTAGAAGGATCTTCTGTTGCTAGAGGAGGCTTCTGTGAGGGGCTGTACCAGGAAGGCCTGTGCTAAGTGTGGGGATAGTACAAAGGAAGCCGGGCCACTTCAGCCAGTGGTCCTGGGTACCACATGTGGGTGCTGTTATCACCATCAGTTTACAGATAAGGAAATGGAGGCCCAGGAATGGTAAGTGGCCCACTCAGCTTACCTGAGGGAAATGGCTAAGGGAAAGTATGGTGCAGCCACTGGGTGGCAGTGTGGAAACTCCTAGGATAGTGCTTGCCCGCAAGACAAAGCTACTCACTCACCAAGACTACTTACTGCCAGGCGTGCTCCAAGATTATGAGATGCTAAGAAAAAAGGGACATTGAGCTAGTGAAAACAAATAGTGTAAAAAAATGTTATCTCCTAGCTAGGCAGTGGTGGTGCACACCTTTAATCCCAGCACTCGGGAGGCAGAGGCAGGCGGATCTCTGTGAGTTTGAGGCCAGGCTGGACTGACAGCCTCCAAAACAATACAGAGAAACCCTGTCTCGTAAAAACCAAAAAAAAAAAAAAAAAAGTTGTCTCCTGCTGGGTATGGTAGGCACCCTGGAATTTGAGGCAAGGGGATTTTGGGTTCAAGGTCATGTTGGGCTTCCTAGTGAGACCCTGTCTCAAAAACACAAAACATAGTTCAGAGTAATTAATGGTGAACACCTTTACCCCTCACATTTGGGAGGCAGAGGCAGGTGATGTCTTGGGTTTGAAGCCTGCCAAGGCTACATTTTGAGACCCTGTCTCAAAAATAAAACAAAACATGGGTCGAGGGAGATTGCTCAGTCAAGAGCTTACCACACATAAGAGAACACTGGAGTCTGATCCCATATAAAAACTTGGCATGGTGGCATATTCTTGTCCTTCCAGAGCTGGGGAGGTGGAGACAGCTGGATCCCAGGGGCTTGCAAGCCAGCCAGCCTGACTGAATCAGTGAACCCCAAGCCAGCGAGAAAACCCCATCTCAATAAGGTAGACAGTACATGAGAAAGAAAAACACCTGAGATAGTCCTCTGACACACGAGTGTGCACACACAAACACACAGATCAAAACAAAAGCAAAATTCTGCCTGCTGTTCGTAAGGACACCTAAGACATCCTGCCAGTGATACAGCTTCCAGAGACAACTGCCCTCTTGCTTTGTTTGGATTCTAAACAGAAGGCGAGGTGTGACTCCAACTCAGCTCCTGGTGTGGTGGTAGAGCGGGCAGTACCCAGGCTTCACTGCCCAACCCTGCAATACTTCAGGAAGCACTTTCTAGTTCCTGGGACACCTGTGATCTTGGAAGGTGTGGCTGACCACTGGCCGTGCATGAAGAAGTGGAGGTGAGTAGGCTCTGTGGGGAACTGAGGTCCTGCCTCCTATCTGAATGTCCCCAGGACTCCCTGAAGGCCTCTTCTGGCCATTCATAAGTGACTGCTCCAGCCCACCCTTCAAAAACCCCTTGATTGACTGAAGAGGATTAATAACGACTTTAAAGTAGGATATGGTGGGGCTGGCAAGATGGCTGCAAAAGCCTAATGGCCTGAATTCAAGCCCTGGGACCACAAGTTGTTTTCAGACTTGCTTGACACAGTGCCATGCATGCCTCCCAGCACATGGAATAATGAATTTTTCAAAATTAACTAAAAATGTGAGGTATCCTGAGTTCTGCAAGGGTCTAAGGCGCTCACTGATGTGTGCTTACCCTGAGCAAACCCTTAAGAATGCCTGAGTAGCGGGGCTCAGCAATGTTAGGTGTTAGTGCAAGATGTCAGAGGCCCCAAAGGCCTTCCTTCTCAGGGCCCCAAGGCCATAGCTGGAATCACCCAGGAGATGGCTCCTCCTGGGATTCAGACTGTCTGGATGCCTGAGATCTGCTGCCTGAGAGAAGTGTGAGGCTACAGCTGAGCACAGGTCTGGGAATGAGGGGTTCACTTGCCTCCTTCTTTGCTGTCCATGGGTCTTGTCCCCATTATGAATCAGAAACACAGTGGGGGCTGTAAGTGAGCATGTGGACTGCCCGGGCAAGCTCTTGTTTTCTCTTGTTATTCCTAGCTCCCCCGGTGGAACAGCTCTTTCTGTGGCCTTGGCATTACAGTGGGTAGTCTAAGTAGTCATGAGATGGCTTCAGACATGGGGGAGCTTAGTTCCTTCACACACTGTGCTGTCTCCTATAAGGACTGGAGAATCCTGAGATTCCAGCAGCCTCGGGGAGTATGTAAGCCATACCCTGGGTATGCAAGACAACTGTAGCTCAAGGGAGTGGGTTGAGTTGAGTTGGCCTGTTGTGAGTGTGTGTGTGTGGAGGAAGTGGGCCCTGAGACTGCAGTGAGGAAAGAATCCTGTAGAAGCCACAGCATAGCTGCCATGCTCCAAATGAGGCAGGTACTGGCATCACCTCCTTTAACAGATGGGGAGCAGGGACTCAGGAAGGCTAACTCACCAAAGGATCCCTGCCCCACCCACCCCAGCTCTTAGCACTCAGGGCCAGCACTTCACACCACATCCATACAGCCTTCCATTTGTCCCAAGGTTTCTCAGCTCGGGGACAGGGTGAGAAACATGAAGAGTTAGCAGGATCCTGGACAGCAGAGGTGGTCATCGTACAGTGTGTGTGACTGAGGTTGAACCTGAGGGCTGGGCATGGTGTGGGTAACCATCTAGATCCATATGCAAAGCCACATCTGCTGTGTGGTCTTGGGCAAGCAGTGTCACCTGTCTATGGTGAGACTTCTGTCAGGAGAGTGAGGGCAACAGCAGTCTTCACCTCATGAGGTTTTGTGAGTTTGAGAGAACCAAAGAAATCCATTCCTACATGTGAGTAGCAGGGATGCATGCTGACAGCTGTGGTGACAGTGCCAATGCCTACTCTTGTAGTCTGCAGTACATCCAGGAGATTGCTGGCTGCCGCACTGTCCCTGTGGAAGTGGGTTCAAGGTACACAGACAAAGACTGGTCCCAGACCCTCATGACCGTCAATGAGTTCATCCACAAATACATCCTGAGCGAGGTATATGGGAGTTAATATTTAACAGATGGACAGTGCGACTGAACTTAAAGGCAAGATTTATGTCATGTACACCTCACCACGATTTTTAAAACAACCTCTAATGAAAAGCAGCAGCCCTTGGCTATGCGCTACACCTGCATTATTTGCTCAAGGGAGAAGCTGCAGGGGTTAGCAGCTCATTCAGACAGGGCAGAGCCGCACCCCGGGGCCCCAAGTGTCCTGCCCTTCAGCTCTGGATCAGGAGGTCACTGATCACATCAGGCCCCAGGGTGGGGAAGGGGGCCACACAGGACAGTGGTGGGTGGAGCCAGGGCCAGGCCTTAGCAGCCAACTAAGCAATAGCGCCATCAAGAGGTACCCAACGCAAACTAACTGATGGTCACCTCTGCTTTCCTCCTCTGGTTCAGGCAAAGGACATTGGGTACCTTGCTCAGCACCAACTATTCGATCAGGTAAGCCTGAGACCATGTTCCTGTCCTACACCCCTCACCTGTGACTCTCCTACCAGGGAGCACACATGACTATCTTCTGGTGCGAGGGGTCTCCCTCATTACCATGGGCAGCAGGGCAGTGAGGCAAGTTGAACTGCCAGGCTTGAGACTGAGTGTGCTGAGTTTGGGGGCCCAGTTTGAATGCCCAGGCTGAGCTGCCAATGGCTGAAGGTGGAGCTTGGCCAAGCTGGAGTGGGACTGGGTAGATATTCCCATTGAGAAGCACCCCAGCACCAAAGCATCCTGAGAGTGCAGAGACCACCAGCCAGGAGGTTATTTACCAGAGCCAGAGAGCCTGAGGGGTAGAGGCCCTGAAGGCCAGACCAGGACTCTGGATTTAGTCTGGACACAGTGGAGTCCGGGGGGGGGGGCCCACTAAGCAAGAAGGCTCCCTGGAGATCCTGGGCACTGTGAGAGACAGTGCATGTATCTGCAGGGAACAGACCCTTTAGAGCAGATCACTAGGCCCACCCCTCCTGGAGTAGCCCGTCACCCAACACTGGCAGCTCAAGGGCCTCTAGAAAGCAGGCTGGGGGTTAGCCAGTGGCTGGCCACAGTAGGTGTGCTCCTCAGACCTGTGATGTGAGCTGGGCCTGAGGAGAGAGGACAGAGAGCTGCCTGGCTGGGGGTAAAGTAAGAAAATGAGGATATACACTTGTCTAAGTGTTGTATAACAAATAATACAAGCAGGATAAGTTTTTTTTGGTTTTGGTTTTGGTTTTTGGTTTTATGAGACAGGGTTTCTCTGTATTGTTTTGGAGGCTGTCAGACCAGCCCAGCCTTGAACTCACAGAGATCCACCTGCCTCTGCCTCCCGAGTGCTGGGATTAAAGGCGTGTGCCACCACTGCCTGGCTCAGGCAGGATAAGTTATAACAATAATTTATCTAGTTCTGGAATCTGGGAAGGTCAAAGGACCACATCTGATGAGGACTATCTAGCATATCAATGGCTTAACAAAGGACACCATGTGACAAGAGAATAGGCAGGGAGGGACCTACTTGGTTTAATAGCAAGCCTGTACCTGTGATACACACAGTTAACAGTATCTGTCTCTGCATCCATCTGTCCACGAGGCAGAGCCCTCATGACCAAGTCACCTCTTAGTTTTGAACGCTAATTTAACTTCAAGAGAGCACGCAGAAACCAGAAGCCAGTGGGTTTTCCCTCTCCTGCCTGTCGCTCCGAGATCATCTTCATGTATTGCCATCACTGTGGGAAAACAGCCTGAGCTGCAAAGGGAATCCTTCCAAGCTATCTGGTTATCCTTTTTATTCAGCATGGGACTTCAGGCTATGTGGGCACTACCCACATTCGAGGCGGGTCCTTCCACCCTAATTAAATTGGAAACACCCTCTCACACACGCAGTGGTGTCTAACTCTAAAGGCAGGTGAGTCGGAACTATGAACAGCTGCTTCAGCCAGATCTTGTTACTCGGCTCTGGCCCTCAGTTTCTCAGTTCTCCTCTGCTGCTCAGATCACCTCAAAGAGGAGTCTGAGCAGCCAGGCATTCATGGGACAGGGCATGGACTATTTTCTAGGACCTCTGTGTCTACAGGAAGCTTAGGCTATTAACAAGCCTTGGAAGCCTCTGGTCACTGCCTTGGGCTTAAAACAGTCACATCTCTGGAGCATGTGTTCTCTAAGGGTCTCTGAGTCCATGGCCAGTGATTTTGATGAGATCCAGTCAAACAGTCATTCTTCAGAAATTATACTAAGGATCCTGTGACAAGGCCTGGTACCCTTCAGTCAAAGCACTAATGTGGTATGCTAGGAGCCTGTTTTTCTAGACATGCTGGGGACTGTGAGACTCTTCAAGGACTTCCTGCAACACTAAGTCCTCCTATAAGCCAGTAATTCTTTTTTTTGGTGGGGGGGTTCGAGGCAGGGTTTCTCTGTGGCTTTGGAGGCTGTCCTAGAACTAGCTCTTGTAGACCAGGATGGTCTCTAACTCACAGGGATCTGCCTGCCTCTGCCTCTTAAGTGCTGGGACTAAAGGCGTGCACCACCACCGCCCTGCAAGGCTGCAGTTCTTACACTGGCCACATGAGACAGCGAAGTAGCTGGTACAACCTCCCTGCTAGAACATTCTGACTTCCCAGCAGGGTGGGGAATTGCTTTTGGCTTTCTGACCTGCAAGAGGTTGTAGTAAGGTCAGTGAAGGAATGTCAAGAAAGACTTGCTCTCTGAAAGGCTCCTGACTTTCCTCTGCTTCCTTTCATTCATCTCAAGGTTGAAAAGTGCCCCCAAGACCTGAGGCATCAAGCTGCCTGGTGCTAGGGGCTGAGCCTGCACCCTTGGGCTCAGAACCAAGCTGCAAAGAGTTGCAATGGGCCCACTACGGGTAGAGGCTTCCCAAAAAGTAGCTTCTTCATGCCAAGGCCATGGCTCTTCCCAGAGGCCAGGCCAGCACTTTGAACCTGACAAGTGACATTATTCCCTGGCAGATGCCATCCCCAACGCGCTGTGTATCACCACATTGTGCACCTCTCAGACATGTCTCATTAGGGGTTTCTTTGCCCAGCCCTGTCCAGCCAGGGAACAAGTCCCATGGTAGCACAGGCCTGGGCTGTGAAAAGCCAGAAGTTAAGAAAACTCCATGCCACCATTACAGATGTCCCCTCCCAGGGAAGTGAGAATGTAAACTGTTCAAAGACAGTGTAGGAAGCAGGGCAGAAGCAAAGGGGCATCATGGAGGCATCTTCCAATGCCACCTGGTGGTAGGGTAGTCACTGCTACTCCTGCAGGTGGCTGAGACCACAGCCTCTGTGAGAAGTTACTCACCGCAAAGGAACTCAGTGCGTGCCCCTTCCAGTGGGTCAGTGCATGTGCTCTGGAAGGCTCGTACTGGTTACCAGGCTGCTGCCTGGATCAAGGTGCAGCAGCCTGTCATAACCCATTGCACCAGATCGTCTTCAGCCTTTGCTAATGTCATTAGTGGGTAATGTTGAGTGCTGCAGAGCCAATTCTGCTCACTTGCTAGTAAGACCCAAACCCTCCCTCACCACTGATTCACTTCTGAGTGCCTGCTGTAGTCCCCTGGTGGCTGGGAAGTATATGTACTTGGTCCTAAAGCTCTCTTTTCTGGCCTCTGAACACTGTTCACTAACTCCTCCCTTCTTAGAGTGGGTTTAGTAAGCAGTCTACTTTGCTGGTCTTTGTAGTAATTCATTTAAAATACACCGGTTGTGATTTCTTCACAGGTAGCAATTTTTTGAAAATCATCCCCTCCAGAGATCTGATAAATACCCAGTGCACTTGACTTTTGGGGATTGTTTTTTGTTTTTGAAACAAGGTCTCACTATGTCACCCATGCTGACCTCCAACTTGTCATACTCCTGCCTCAGCCTTCCAAATGCCGGAATTACAGCTATGCACCAACAAAGGTAACGCCTGTGGTTGTTTCATATTGTTTTTAACTTAACACTTGACTTGTGTGGTGACTCGTGCCTTTAATGCCAGCAAAAGCAGGTGGAGTTCTGTGAGTTCGAGGTCATTCTAACCTACATGGTGAGTTCCAGGCCAGCCAGGGCTGCAAAGTGAGCCCATCTCAAAAACAAAAAGACATTACTCATTAGTAAATGGCAGAGTGCTTTTGGGGGTGGGGATAAAGAAGCAATATCTGGTTTCTAAAAAAAAAAATCTATGTGATATAGAAAAAAATATGAAGATTATAATTTTTATCTATTACTTATATCTTAAGGCTTTATTCATTAGATAAGAACCTAAGCTAGGTAGGACGGCACATACCTGTGATACCTGTACTTGGGAAGCTGAGGGAAGAGGATGAGAGATAGAGACTGTCTCAAACCAAAACAATGAGTCAAGGAGTATATTTGGCTGTGTCAAGTAGTCAGATATCAGCTGGGTCCTGGCTGGCATACCTAGCCCTGGCTTCTGCTTTCTGCCACTACTCTCAGATCCCAGAGTTGAAGCAGGACATCAGCATCCCTGATTACTGTTGCCTGGGCAATGGGGAAGAGGAAGAGATCACTATCAATGCCTGGTTTGGTCCCCAAGGAACCATCTCACCACTGCATCATGACCCCCAGCAAAACTTCCTGGTCCAGGTAGGAATTGCTGCCAGACAGGGGCTGAATAAGGAGCTTGTTGTGGTAAATACCCATAATGACAACACTTGGAAGGTTCAAGGTCAGTCTGAGCTATATGAGACCTAGTCTCAAAGGAGGGGGGTGGTGAAGGGATGTAGACAGAAACACACACACACACACACACACACACACACACACACACACACACACACACACACACACAATAGTCCTGAGGCCCTGAGACAGGGCTTCAAAGGGATGTAGACAGAAACACACACACACACACACACTAGTCCTGAGGCCCTGAGATAGGGCTTCAAAGGGATGTAGACAGAAACACACACACACACACACACACTAGTCCTGAGGCCCTGAGATAGGGCTTCTCCAGGGTCAAGGCTGCATCCAAGTGGGATTTCTCTGGGGCCAGATAAGAAAGCTCTTGGGAGGGCCTAGCACATTCTAGCAACCCCTCTCTATCAGCCACCCTCACTTCCACTGCTAGCTTGCACCTGTGGATAACGCCAAGGGAACAGGTGTCTCAGCCACAGACAGATGTTCTCAGAGACTCAGTCAAAGGTTTGTCACAAGGGAAGCAGCACAAACCCACTGCTGTGAGAACTTGTCAGACTGAGTTGCTAAAAAGACTAAATAAATGAGAGCATTCTTTAAGAGCAATTGGCCAGCCCTGCAAGGCAGCTCAGTAGCAGCTAAGAGCCAGAGCCCAGGAGCTCACTGCCTGGCATGGCCACCAGCTGTCACCTTAGTAAACTTGGCAACACTTTACCTCTTTGCCTCAGTTTCCTCATAACTGAGGTGAAGAAGAAACTCCCTGAGATTAAGCCAGGTCTGCATGCAGTGCTTGGCTGAGCTTAGCTACATGCAGAACTGTAAGGTACATGAAGGTGAGCACTCTCTGAACGTCAGAGCGTGAGGGACAAGGCAGCAGGACACAAACCACCAGAGAGGCCTGGAAGGACAGGTCCACAGGCCTGTAGTCAGCGGCACAGCCTTGCTGTCCTGAAGCTGATGGGCTTCTTGTCTCCCAGGTGCTAGGAAGGAAGTACATCCGGCTATATTCCCCGCAGGAGTCCGAGGCAGTGTACCCTCATGAGACGCACCTTCTTCACAACACCAGCCAGGTAGGCACACGGGGAATTGATGACATGGGGCCTGCTGTCCCTAGAGACCAGCAAATGACTTTCTTGCTTTTTGCAGGTTGATGTGGAGAACCCTGACCTGGACAAGTTCCCCAAGTTCGCTGAGGCCCCATTCCTGTCCTGTGTCCTGTCCCCAGGAGAGACCCTCTTTATACCTGCTAAGTATTGGCATTACGTGCGCTCCTTGGACCTGAGCTTCTCAGTCAGCTTCTGGTGGTCATAGCCAGGGCCGGAGTGTGCAGGACCCACTGGATGACACCTCACCCAGAGAAAGTGAGCCCGGGGGAAGGCATAGGCCCTGGATTCCGCTAGATCCCAACAGTCCTGCTCCCCAGCCACTCTCTGTAGGACTCGTGTGGGGCAGAGCTGCTGCGTGTACCTAGACCATCCAGGTCACAGATGCTTCATTTCTTTTCTTTGTAACTTAAATTTTTTCAATAACATAAATAAAAATATTTTCTGAATTTAAAAAACCATTCTTCAACCCAATTCCCCTGCTGCCTCTGGCAGAACAGGCAACCAAAGAGGCATTGGGGAAGGAAGGGGAGGGAACATGGGCCCTAGAAGAGAGACGACCCTACCCATGAACTCTTTAGTGGCAAGTACCGAAGGAGGGGAGCCACATTTGTCACACAAAGGAGACTGGACCAGAGAAGCAGAGACCAGAGCAGTCAGGACAATGAAAGGGTAGCCAGGCAGGAGTTGGTTAAGGTCAATGGGCCTGCAAAGTGGGTGGAGACTCTGGAGCTTTGGGAGGCTGGCAGTTCAGGCTGTAACTAAAGGTATTTAGAGTTTGCAGTCCCAGCTCTTGATGGGCTGGCCTGGCTTGTTGGTGATAAAACATCAGCCATCCCCGAGGCCACAGGGATGGCCCCACCACACCCCATAAGACAAGAAAATGACCAGGTCAAGGAATGTAACCTTGGTCACACAAGGTCTAGGAGTCTAGACCGTCAAAGTATGCCTTTTTAGACAGCTAGCTTTGGCAGGGAGGATGTACAGCAGGCTGAGGCTGCTCCCAGGAGTAGGCAGCCAGGGGTCTTAGAGGTTGGCATCCTGTCTGGCACTATTAACAGCTGCTTACACATAGTACTAAGGCATAGAGTAGAAAATCCAGCATCCCAGCTCATGTAACCTAATGAAGAGCCACATGTTCCCAGGGGCTCAAGCATTGTCACACTTCACTAGATGTGGGCCAGCTGTTTAGCTTCAACTTCATGCAGTGGCCTGGCCTTTACCGTACCACCTATGACAACTGGCAGGCTCAATACTATCCTGGGCCACGGCTGAGCAGCAGGTGCCATCACCAGGTGGGAGGCAGGGAGGATGGAATGGGTCTACCTATGGGCAGGTCCCAAGGTTGCTGGAACCTGCCTACAGGCCTGCCTTCTGCTCACTGGGAAATGTGGACTCTCAAACTGGCTTGGAAACAGCACCAACAGGCCCTCACAGCCAAGAAAAGAGCAAGTATGAAGACCCATCAGTCCATCACTCATACAGCACACAGATCTGTTCCATACCATGGTCCTGGGCAGGCACTGAAGACATGGCACTCAGCTATGTGGGCTTCTTGTCCTGGTGTTGAACACACCATGGAGCAGGGATCAGCAAAACCAAAATATGATCAGATTGAACCAAGCTAAGTACAACAGGGTGACAAGATAGCAAAGGGCAACAAGGAGGGCTGGTGGGACATGTTTGGTGACTGACAATATAAGGTAAAATGATGAGGGACAGAACAGGACTTCAGACTGGCACTTAGGACCCACTCCCAATGGCAGGGACAGCAGCCCTGTCCTTGTTGGGTTTGTTGTTTGGTTGGTTGTTTGGTTGGTTGGTTGTTGCCAACTTGGAAGAGGAATCTCAATGGAGACAATGTCCATCAGACTACCCTGTAGTCAAGTCTGTAGGGCATGCTCTTGACTTCTGATTGATATGGGAGGGCCCAGCCCACCAGGAGCAGTGTCACCCCTGGACAGGTTGTCTATGAGAGCAGGCTGAGTAAGCCAAGTGAAGAAGCTACAGTAAGTAGCATTCCATGGCCTCTGCTTCAGTTCCTGCCGCCAGTTCTCCCCGTGAGCGCCTACCTTCGTGTTGGAGTGGAAACTAGAACTCATCATCCCTCCCCAAGTTCCTTTTGGCCATGGTATTTATCACAGCAATAGAAGTAAACTAGGACAAGCCCCAAGAGGGACAACCAGGCCTAGGAAGGAACAACACAGCTGGAGCAATATCATGGCTGGGAGCTGGGGAAAGCAGGAGGGGCCTGGTCTAGTCAGTGATTACCACCCAGTGGCACCAGAGAGACTAGAGGGCAGTGGCAGAGAGGGCAGGACAGACTGCAAAGGTCTAGATGGGCATCGAACTAGGATCTGGGAGTGTGAGGGTCTTGGGTGGGGAGTGTTGGTTCCTTTGGGATGCTTATACAACTGGTTGGTACCATGGTAAAATACTGGAGACAGGGAGCTAGATGGCAGGAGAGCTACTATCTCCAGAGCTCCTTGGTCACCCTCAGGGATGGCCTGAACTGTAACACTGCAACACAAGACAGGCAGGCAGCTGGCCATCCCAAAGCATGGAGTGGAAACCCACATTAGCCAATGCAGGGTAGGGCTACAGGGACTGCCCCTAAGCTATACCTTGAAGACTCTGAAGGTGCAGGGCATCCTGGGACCGGGGACTCAAGCTCCCCACCCAGAGGCCCCAACTCTAAGCTCTGGCTTTTCTAGATGGGTTCTGCTTTCCTGACAGTTCAGCAGAGGCAAAAAGTGGGGTGACCTGTGGCATCCCTGGAACCACCACCCTAGCCCCTCTAGAAGGAACCTGTGGCCATGTCCTTCCTCATCTGGGCCAGTATGGGTTCTGACATGTAAAGGCAGAAAAGACGCAGGCAGGGAACCAAGCACTGGATACTGTGGCGGTGAGCCCAGGGGCCAAAGGGGAGGAGTTGAGGAAGGAAGGAAGGCAGGCAGGCAGGCAGGCAAGCTGAGGTAAACGGGCGAGAACCATCACTGTGAGTTCTAATTCAACCCAACCACCCGAAATCAAAACAGGGTCCTAGCAGGTTGTGGCATGTCCAAGGTGGATGGAGCCAGGGGCAGAGCAAGATGAGGATAAGGGGTGGGCTCTGGTTTGGACAGTAGCTGGTGGGCCAAACAGCAAGGGCTGGACAGGATTTGAGGACAGTGTGATGTAGATGCAAGGGCTGGACAGGATTTGAGGAAAACAGGAAGTTGATGCCAGGGACAAGGAGGCTAGACTGACTCTCAGGTTACTTGCTGAAATAACCGGTGGGCAGATGGGGGACAAAAGGCCCCATGGGAACAGCACAAATCTAGTCCAGCCCAGCCTGAGGGGGCTACTGCACTTGGGGTCTCAGTAAGATCCTATTGTAGCTATGGACACCAAGGCAAAGATAATGGAACAAAACTGCAACAAAAACAAAACCGCTCAGAGCCAGACACAGAGACACCTGGCCAGGGCTGACGGTGGCTCTGACCCAGTGCTGCCACTGAGTTCACTCGCCTCACCATGGGGACCCAGCCCAGCCCCACACAAGCTCTAGTGTGCAGAGCACAGGAACCATCGGGAAACATTTACTAAAAATGTGTTAAGAGCAAATATCAACAAGGGAGGCAGTTCATGGTCTAAACAGGCCATGAGGGTCAGCCCATCAACAGCCAGAGCCATGCAGGACACAGTTAGTGCTGACGGGTCCGCAAGGACTTTCTGCTCGACTTGGAGATGCCAGCCTCCCTCTCCTTCTCGGGGTCGAAGACTTCTGTGTATAGAACAGCAGGGAGACACAATGAGCAGCATGATGAATGGACTGATCACACCGCTGATGTCTATAGCTATCCCCATGCAGAGGACCTGTCCTGTCTGTAACATTCACTACTAACCCTCCTCCCCAGCACGTGAGCCAGGCAGCAAAGTTCACCGAGGAAGCTGGGAAGTGGCTTTCCCATCCCTCTTCCTGGATGGCTAAGAGGAAAGCCTTGTTTGGGACTCTCACATGCCCTGAGGTTTCTAGTGGATTCTAGACCCTTTAGACCAAGGCAGGCAGACAGCTTTCACCTTGCTTCAGCAGGACACCAACACTGACCTTCATGCTCAGAGTCCTCCTCAACCCTCCCTCCAAAGGTGCTCTTGATGCCTAGGCTAAGAACTGAGGTCTCACAGACAGCCCATCAAAAGGCCACCCCATCCCATGGGCACTCTGGAGGCCATGTACCTGGTATGTCATGGGGCCAGAAGTCATTACAATGGGGACAGCGTGGTTCAGAGGTAGACTGGAAGTACTTGGCCACACAAGGCAAATGCATCCGAATACCACACGTCTCACAGCTTTGACCCTGAAACAAGAAAGGCTGATGACCATGGAGCCAGGACATCCGTCAACTTCACAAAAATTCAGGAAGCTGGAAGAAAATGGCTACCAGGTTGGAGGGATTAAACTTCCAGACTCCAACTTAATGCTGGTAATAACCCCAAGCCCTATTGTAGGGCCTGCACTACAGAATTTTGAACAAGTGAGCATAGGCGGGGGAAGCTGAAAATCGCACTCCCCACCAAGCGTCTATAGCTCCAGACTCAGGTTCACTGCTCAGAGATTCTCCAGTGGGAGGCATAGACATAGAGCTTTGCAGTAGGCCAAGTGGCAACATGTATTACATGCTTAGGATCAACGCAAGCCCTGGGTAAGCCACACTCCACCTCCAAGAGTCTGGCCATGGAAGGATCACAGACACCTGTGTATTCTCACGTACAAGCTCAGCATGGAGCCTGGTTGCCCAAGATAAAAAGAAGCAAACATGGCACCCAGCCTGCAAAGCTGAAGTAAGAAGCAGAATGGTGGGGGCAGAAAGACATTTGTCATAGAGCCACCAAGACTTAAGCTACTTGGGTTTTAGTTAATTTGAGAGATGGTCAAGTTGGCAACCAAGAATAGCCATTACAACCAGGAAATTGAAGTTTTGCATCTGTGTTGTGATAAAGCTGTGCTGGAGTTGGAGAGATAGATGCTCAGTTGTCACGACCACCTCGACCAGCAAGGAAGACGCGACTCAGGAATCCTTCTCACAAGCGGTTTATTCAGGACCTTGATGAACAACGTGGAGGCAGCCGCGGGAGAAACCCCTCCTGCTCCCTAAATAGCTGAGGCCAGCCAACCCTGAGCAGCCACGTGTGCGCAAGCCATAGGCTCACCAGAATGCATAAGCAATCTGATGATGATGGCGTGACCCCGGCGGGATGGGAGCAGGCCAAATAAGGAGTTGTTTATTACCGAGCGCACTCACCGTCGGGATGGTGGAATGCGGAAGCCGGCGCCATCTTTGAGGCGCGGTGTGGCGCAGCTCTCCACACTCAGTGATTAGGAACATGTTCAGCTCTTGCAGAGAACCCATGTTTGGTACCCAGCACATACTGGATGGCTTTCAACCAAATGTAACTCTAGTTCCAGGGACCCTTT